TTTTCTATATTTCTGCATAAATATGACCCAAAACATAATCAGACTTTCGCACAAGTCCTGAAAGTAGACAAAGAGAACCTAATCAAACAAGTGAGACAAAAATATGTTCTTTGTCATTTATTCAGGAAAAAGATACAATATTACATATCTGTGAGTGGCAAAAGCATGTGAATCTCTAGGATTGGCAGTTAATTTGAAGGTGAAATTAGAGTCCAGTTTTTCAGAGGTGTTTTCAATCAGTGAAATTATATCAGGTGTCAGTGTGTGCCCTGTTTTATTTAAAGGACAGGGATCTATCGAAGTCTGATCATATCTGTGGAAGTGTATCATGGCATGAACAAAGGAGATCTCCGAGGACCTCAGAAAAAGAGTTGCTGTTGCTCATCAGGCTAGAAGAGGTTACAAAAGCATCTCTAAAGAGTTTTAACTCCACAAATCCACAGTCAGACAGATTGTGTACACCCTTACAAAAACATTTTTTTTGTAAGGGCAAATGGAGGAAATTCAAGACCACTGTTACCCTCCCCAGGAGTGATTGACTAACAAAGATCACTCCAAAAGTGTAATAGTCTGCAAGGTTGCAAAGGAACCCAGGGTAACTTCTAAGCAACTAAAGGCCTTTCTCACATTGGCTAATGTTAATGTTCATGAGCCCACCATCAGGAGAACACTGAACAACCACGGTGTGCATGGTGCATCCAAAAAGAACATTGCTGCCAGTCTGCAGTTTGCTAAAGATCATGCGGACAAGCCAGAGGGCTACTGGAGAAATGTTTTGTGGACAGATGTGAGCAAAATAGAACTTTTTGGTTTAAATGAGCAGCGTTCTGTTTGAAGAAAAGAACACGCTGTATTTCAGCATAAGAACCTCATCCCATCTGTGAAACATAGTGGTGGTGGTGGTAGTATCATGGTTTGGGCCTGTTTTGCTGCATCTGGACCAGGACAGCTTGCCATCATTGATGGAACAATGAATTATAATTATGTCAGGACATCTGTCAGTGAACTAATTCTCAAGAGAAAGTGGGCCATGCAGCAAGACAACGACCCCAAGCACACAAGTTGTTCAACCAAAGGATGGTTAAAAAAGAACAAAGCAAACGTTTCGTAATGGTCAAGTCAAAGTCGCACGACTTCCCCATATGTAACATTGGATCATTTTTCTCAATAAATAAATGGCAAAGAAAGTATTTTTGTCTCATTTGTTTGTTTGGGTTCTCTTTGTCTACTTTCAGGACTTGTGTGAAATTTTGATTATGTTTTGAGTCATATTTATGCAGAAATATAGAAAAGGGTTCACAAACTCTCAAGCAGCACTGTATATACGTGTGTGGGTGTGTGTACGATTGAATGTATTAAATTGCGTATATAAAATCAAAATTATATATATATAATATTTTTAAATGTTAAATAAGCACCCAATAAACATCCAATCGTACATTTGAATTATATTTCGATTTTATACAATGTACATAATTTGTTACTATTTATTATTACTTGCTGTATAGGTTCTTTTAGGATGGTGTTCTGTGTACCTGTTATTGGTGCGCTTTCTTGAAACTCACCTGTTAGTCGTTGTCATGGTGATGGATCTTGGGGTTTCCCCAGTCGTGACGTAGGGGGATTTCCACCCACCAGATCAGCCCTCTAGCTTACCAAGAGAAGAAGTGAAAGAAATACGGAGCGAAGGGGTAGTGTTTGTCATGTCACAGTCGTTAGTGGCTGAGCAACAGCTAAAGCGGTCTCTCATTTTCTCTCGGCATTTCTTTTCCTAAAAGCTTCCGTTAACTTCAGGCTTCCAAAAACAGGCGAAGCACCCGGAAATGAGTCCATAACGCGGGACTGATGATCTGATCGCTGTTTCGGAGGATTGCAATTCAACACAATAACGACCTACGAGAGCGTGTAGGAACCAACGAGACTCTTTCTTCTTCTTCTTCTTCTTCTTCTTCTTCTTCTTCTTCTTCTTCTTCTTCATTGTGCCTGCAATGAGAAACATGAGCGTTCGGAACGGCACAGCGGGAGGTCAGTTCAGTCTCTTACACGGTCACTTCGGCCCTGTTGTTGTCACTCTGATTCAGCATGTTTTAGGACTACTTGCTCTACTTTAAGTTACTCCTAAGCGATGCATTATGTACGCATTATGCACTGAACTTGAACGGCAGCTATCGCCACCTCACTTTATATTACGTTTTATGGCACAAAAGGTCACGTTATCATCGAAACTTAAGTTGTTTTCTTAGAGAAGTGGGTGTTTCCAAAGTTACAGGCCTGTATTGAAACAATAATACAGGCCCGCGAATGTCTTTTCCTGTTTTACTGTCGCAAAAATAATATTTGAGCATGTTTATAATCTGTCGAGAGGTATGTTTATCATCTGATATGTTTCATGATGACTCATTTGAGCGCATTTGTTCATTAGCTGATAATAAAGTCAAGCTGCTGCAGACACCTTTATCAGACGACTTTGTCATTGACTGCTAGTTTTATGTTAAATAAATAAATAAAAAGTCACTTTCAGTTTCGTTTTCCGGAAATGCGCATGTTTAACTGTTTTCTCTTCTTTTTTCCCCATCATGTCTCCCTGTGCAGACCTTTATCTAGGTGAGTGCAGATGTGACCTTGGTTGTCCACTTTGTTTCTTCTTTCATATATTTCGTGTCTTATGGTTTTAAAGGGATAGTGCAACAAAAATGTGGTCATTATTTAGTCACCTTTATGCCCTCCAGCCCAGTGACTTTCCATGGAACACAAAAGGAGATGTTACTCAGCCCAGCAGCCCCGGTCACCATATTCTTCCATGCAGTGAAAGTACACAATAGTGTCATTCTGCCTAACATCTGCTTTTGTGTTACATGGGGAAAATGTATTTAAGTGATGTCTTTAACTAGAGCTCTTGTTTATATTGATTAAAACTGTCCCTCAGATATTATAGATGAGTACCTTACGGAGAAAACGATCAAAGAACTGTCCGTAACGCTCCCTGGTCCTCCGCCTCCACCTGTGGACCAGGACATCCAGCCAGTTGATCCGCCGTCTAGAGGCAGGCGAAGCACACCGGTGTTGGTCTCCAGAGGAGCAGCTCCACATGTGAGTCTTTCTGCTGTTACACTACATTGAACCAAAAGAGCAGTTGTTGTATCAGTTGCTAAAGCAGGCATTACTATTATTATTGTACGTACTTTACTGAAACCAGGATAGTTCACCCAAAGATGAAGATTCTCTCATCATTTACTTGCCGTCATGTCGTTCCAAACCCTTCTGTGGAACATAAAAGAATATATTGAAGAATGTTGGTAACCAGATGACCATTGACTTCCACACGCAGAGACGCTTCTCAAAATATCTTCTTTTGTGTTCCAGAAAGTCGTAAGGTTTAGAAGGACATGATGACAGAATTGTAATTTTTGGGTGAACTGTCTCTTTAACACGAACAACTGAATTTGGTGCGTAACTCATCCTGCATTGTTTGTGCTATGGGCACGAATGATGCCTCAAATTCTGTGGCATATTGATTGTATTTGCTCTAACAGCTCACTATACAAAATGTCTTGTGTTTTTGGTAGATATCGAAACTTGTTATTCATGACATCAAGCTTTTTTACTCCCAGAAGGGTGATTGTAATTCGATGCCTACATTCAGTTAGCGTTCTCTCCGCTCATGCTTCTCTCCCGCATACAAAAGAGAGTCAGGCACATACCCTCCTCTCTGCTTCTCACTTTCTCATTGGCTGGTTTATCGCCCAGCTATGTGAGCTTCCTGTTTCTTCACCATGCTTCTTCTGGCTCTTCTCAGCGGCTCTTTGTGTAAGCGATCTGAGTCCATCCTCAGGCATGTCCAGAGACTTGGTGTTTGTCTGTTGTCTTCTCAAAAATTCTACATTCTGATACTTTTTATTCCTCTGTTATTATAATTGTGCTGTTTTTGTGTTCAATATCTGCATGTGCCAAACAGACTGTTACTCACTCTCTTTTTCTCTCTTTTTCCACTCACTCACTTTCTCTTTCTCTCTTGCTGTTTTTTTTTTTGTGCTGGCTTAGATTTTTAAATGCAGATAGTGAGCTGAAGGTGAATTGTTTGTCTTTCCATTAATGATTTAAAATATTGGAAAGTCAGAGAGGGAACGTGTGATTCCAGCGAAGTAATAAAACAAGCTAATGTGGTTTTCTGAACGCTTTGTGTTGCTGATTTACTATGTGGGGGTTTGAAAATAAATTATTTAGTGACTGGCACACCATTTATTTTTTTAACTTAAACATGTAAACCCTTTTGGCAGAGCTTTATCTTTTTGTTTAAATATTTTGTCTCTTGCTCTATTCAATTGTTTGTTCATTTATTTGTTATCTGAAAATCCAGCTGTTAAAGCCACACCAAAGTTTTAATATTCATTCTATAACAATAATGATAACTATACCAATAATGACCCAGATGAACAATAACAACAATGAATTAAAATTTCACCCGACTTTAAAGAGCTACATCATTTAAAGTGGCATACAACACAGCGGCAGCACATGCTTACGATAAGTTATGTAATCGTGTGTTGATTTGGACACTAATAAAGTTATTGTTACAGTCATCTTTATTTTTTTTGGTGTGAACTATCAGTTAAAAACTCTTTAGAACACATTAGCAACCACCCTTGTAGCAGGTGCTTAAACCACTCCAAACACCTTAGTAACTGCATAGTAACACCCTGGCAACCACCCAGAAAATCCTAGTAACACCATAGTGACGGGATTAAAAACTATGCAGAACACTTTAGCCATATAGCAGCATACTGGCGACCTTTCAAAACAATGTAGTAACCATATAGCAACGCCTTAGTAACCATATAGCACCACCTTGGCAACCATGCAATGGAACCATGTAAATGCTAAAAATCTGTCAAAACACTTTAGCAACACCCTGGCAACCTTCAGGACACTATAAACACTGTATAGCACTTGCTAAAAGTGATTCAGAAACATTTGCAACTGTATACCAATGAACTTTTCTACAGATAAGCACCATTCATTTTCTTCATATTTTAAAATTTAGCTTGTATCTCACTTTTCACAGAACCCGTACATCCTTGACCAGACCCCAACGGCGCAAACTGATGGTATGGCACCAATGCATTCCATGCGAGGCCAAAAAGTGGCATCTCAGCGACGTGGACAGTCATCTGTAGCTCCCCAGAGACTTCATCCTCAGCAGACTGGAACAGAATATCTGGAGCGCTTCCTGGAAAAGCCAAAGCTGGTGGTGGTGGAGCAGCCGAAGGAGCGCGGCATGCGGTTTCGCTATGAGTGTGAGGGACGATCCGCGGGCAGCATACTTGGAGCCTGCAGCACTGACTCCAGCAAGACGCTGCCTGCCATTGAAGTGAGTCAGAGGAAGAAGGTTTTGGATGGATGCTAATGAATGAGTCAACAACTGTATTTTTTGGAGTTAAATAATGTAACCCGCTAAAGCCTGACATATGAAATAACAGTCTGAAAACTCTACCTTTTTAAAATGGAATGTTTATTGAAAAAAAAGTCTAAAAAATAGTTGTGTTTTCTTGAGTATCATACTTGATATATCAGACTTTTATGGCTCATATAATATGATATAGGAGAAAATGGAGCTCATACTAGAGGAGAACAAAACCCCAGTTTTATTCAGAGGCCCAAACTGAGCAAAAATATGCAATTTGGTGCAGCTGCTGATATTTATATGTTCTGATGGGAAATCAATGAGACCTTTACAAGTATAACATACACTGACACAAAAATGCATAATTATCAGTTGTTACTCCATATCTCTCGGTTTTATGATCAAAGCTCTGTAGGTTTTATTGTGGGGGCGAAACATAAAATGCAATGCACAGTGATGACTGAAAGATGGACAAATAAGTGCTCCTCAAAAGCCTGATGTATTATGTTTGATACCCACATTTTAACATGATTTTTCTAAAAAGGATGCATGCATAATCAAGTAAACCTAAGTTTCTTCAGTCCAGTAAATGTTCAATAATGATAACTATACCAATAATGACCCAGATGAACAATAACAACAATGAATTAAAATTTCACCCGACTTTAAAGAGCTACATCATTTAAAGTGGCATACAACACAGCGGCAGCACATGCTTACGATAAGTTATGTAATCGTGTGTTGATTTGGACACTAATAAAGTTATTGTTACAGTCATCTTTATTTTTTTTGGTGTGAACTATCTGTTAAAAACTCTTTAGAACACATTAGCAACCACCCTTGTAGCAGGTGCTTAAACCACTCCAAACACCTTAGTAACTGCATAGTAACACCCTGGCAACCACCCAGAAAATCCTAGTAACACCATAGTGACGGGATTAAAAACTATGCAGAACACTTTAGCCATATAGCAGCATACTGGCGACCTTTCAAAACAATGTAGTAACCATATAGCAACGCCTTAGTAACCATATAGCACCACCTTGGCAACCATGCAATGGAACCATGTAAATGCTAAAAATCTGTCAAAACACTTTAGCAACACCCTGGCAACCTTCAGGACACTATAAACACTGTATAGCACTTGCTAAAAGTGATTCAGAAACATTTGCAACTGTATACCAATGAACTTTTCTACAGATAAGCACCATTCATTTTCTTCATATTTTAAAATTTAGCTTGTATCTCACTTTTCACAGAACCCGTACATCCTTGACCAGACCCCAACGGCGCAAACTGATGGTATGGCACCAATGCATTCCATGCGAGGCCAAAAAGTGGCATCTCAGCGACGTGGACAGTCATCTGTAGCTCCCCAGAGACTTCATCCTCAGCAGACTGGAACAGAATATCTGGAGCGCTTCCTGGAAAAGCCAAAGCTGGTGGTGGTAGAGCAGCCGAAGGAGCGCGGCATGCGGTTTCGCTATGAGTGTGAGGGACGATCCGCGGGCAGCATACTTGGAGCCTGCAGCACTGACTCCAGCAAGACGCTGCCTGCCATTGAAGTGAGTCAGAGGAAGAAGGTTTTGGATGGATGCTAATGAATGAGTCAACAACTGTATTTTTTGGAGTTAAATAATGTAACCCGCTAAAGCCTGACATATGAAATAACAGTCTGAAAACTCTACCTTTTTAAAATGGAATGTTTATTGAAAAAAAAGTCTAAAAAATAGTTGTGTTTTCTTGAGTATCATACTTGATATATCAGACTTTTATGGCTCATATAATATGATATAGGAGAAAATGGAGCTCATACTAGAGGAGAACAAAACCCCAGTTTTATTCAGAGGCCCAAACTGAGCAAAAATAGTAGCAGGTGCTTAAACCACTCCAAACACCTTAGTAACTGCATAGTAACACCCTGGCAACCACCCAGAAAATCCTAGTAACACCATAGTGACGGGATTAAAAACTATGCAGAACACTTTAGCCATATAGCAGCATACTGGCGACCTTTCAAAACAATGTAGTAACCATATAGCAACGCCTTAGTAACCATATAGCACCACCTTGGCAACCATGCAATGGAACCATGTAAATGCTAAAAATCTGTCAAAACACTTTAGCAACACCCTGGCAACCTTCAGGACACTATAAACACTGTATAGCACTTGCTAAAAGTGATTCAGAAACATTTGCAACTGTATACCAATGAACTTTTCTACAGATAAGCACCATTCATTTTCTTCATATTTTAAAATTTAGCTTGTATCTCACTTTTCACAGAACCCGTACATCCTTGACCAGACCCCAACGGCGCAAACTGATGGTATGGCACCAATGCATTCCATGCGAGGCCAAAAAGTGGCATCTCAGCGACGTGGACAGTCATCTGTAGCTCCCCAGAGACTTCATCCTCAGCAGACTGGAACAGAATATCTGGAGCGCTTCCTGGAAAAGCCAAAGCTGGTGGTGGTAGAGCAGCCGAAGGAGCGCGGCATGCGGTTTCGCTATGAGTGTGAGGGACGATCCGCGGGCAGCATACTTGCAGCCTGCAGCACTGACTCCAGCAAGACGCTGCCTGCCATTGAAGTGAGTCAGAGGAAGAAGGTTTTGGATGGATGCTAATGAATGAGTCAACAACTGTATTTTTTGGAGTTAAATAATGTAACCCGCTAAAGCCTGACATATGAAATAACAGTCTGAAAACTCTACCTTTTTAAAATGGAATGTTTATTGAAAAAAAAGTCTAAAAAATAGTTGTGTTTTCTTGAGTATCATACTTGATATATCAGACTTTTATGGCTCATATAATATGATATAGGAGAAAATGGAGCTCATACTAGAGGAGAACAAAACCCCAGTTTTATTCAGAGGCCCAAACTGAGCAAAAATATGCAATTTGGTGCAGCTGCTGATATTTATATGTTCTGATGGGAAATCAATGAGACCTTTACAAGTATAACATACACTGACACAAAAATGCATAATTATCAGTTGTTACTCCATATCTCTCGGTTTTATGATCAAAGCTCTGTAGGTTTTATTGTGGGGGCGAAACATAAAATGCAATGCACAGTGATGACTGAAAGATGGACAAATAAGTGCTCCTCAAAAGCCTGATGTATTATGTTTGATACCCACATTTTAACATGATTTTTCTAAAAAGGATGCATGCATAATCAAGTAAACCTAAGTTTCTTCAGTCCAGTAAATGTTCATCTTAAAATATTACTAACAATATAACATTTATTCTTACATTTATTTTACTTTATAAAAATCTGTAAAGACTTCACAACAAGAAGACATGTTTACCATGACCTGAAGCTGGACATTTTTGGAATTATACTGAAAGGCCTTTTACTTGCTAAAAAAGTATAAACTATCAATCAATTTGTTTTCATTAAAGTTTTGATCATGTGGATGATTTAGAGGCCATAGAAATCAGTTTATAAAATGGGAGGCTATATAGGGTTAAACATTTTTTTTATCATCAGTTAGACCTTGTGAAACTCTCATTTCATTTCCATTGTGTGTTCATATTTTTCCATTTACATGAATTAGAAATTGATTTGCACTCCTTAGTTGATTCAGTGGGCGTGTCTGGAATTCACCGACTATCCCTTAACAGTGGGGCATCCCCCATCAAGTTCAACTTTTAATTGCAGTTAAAAATGAAAGTTCCCTGGGGAGGTGTGCGACGAGTGGGCTCTGTCGGAGGGAATTACCTTTAAACCACACAAACAAACATGCTCACCAGTCATTTTTGCCATTGTGAAATGGCCATAAATGGGTACTTTCAACACAAGAGCCCGTGCCAACAATGCAACCACAAAGAACCGATTTCAGCAATGTTGCAAAAGCAAAAGTAAAACTGTATTTTATCTTTTCACCTGTTTTAGATTCAAGGCCCCATTGATAATATCAAGAAAGTGATAGTCACCGTGTCTCTTGTGACAAAGGACATCCCGTACCGCCCACATCCACACTGCTTGGTCGGGAAAGACTGTGCAGATGGCATCTGTGTCATCCACATCAATCCCCACAGCGCTCGTCGACACAGGTATATTTCTATTAACGTCAATGTTTTGGGCGATATGGGACAGTATGGTCAGCAGAACATGATCGGAGAGTAGAAATGTTATTTCCTGCCTGAGTATGTTTGTGTTTTCCAGCTTTGCGAATCTGGGCATCCAGTGTGTGCGGAGGAAGGAACTTGATGCCTCACTGCAGAAGAGGAGGAATAAGAATATTGATCCGTTTAACAGTGAGTTGTTGAATGATATTGCAGACTGAATGGCTCTGTTCCGAATTCTCCAAATACCTATGATTCCTCCATAGGCGGCTCATTAGGTTTTGTAGCAGGTTCTAATAATACTTTTTCCCATGTAGCAGAGTATGAGCATTTGTTGAATGTTTTTGTCTTGTTCTCCACCAGCGGGCCACTCTAAGAGCATTGAGGACATGGACATGAACGTGGTGAGACTGTGTTTCCAGTGTGAGCTGGAACTAAAGGATGGAGACCGAATCCCCCTTGCCCCTGTGGTTTCCAATCCCATTTATGACAAGAGTAAGAGCAAGATATATGTTGGGCCAGAAACATACTCTACTCAAGTACACAAAGTCTCTGTAATTTCCTGGTAGATGATGTTTGGATTGTTTCTATTTGTTCGGTTAGAGGCGACCACAACAGCAGAGCTGAAGATCAATCGGCTTAATGTTGTCAGAGGCCCCTGCACAGGAAAGACTGAAATTTACATGCTCTGTGACAAAGTGCAGAAAGGTAACTTGGAAAGTGTCATATTTAATTCACAAAATCTCATTTTGCCAACACAGTTGCGCTGAAATAACTCATTTGTGTATCTGGAAACCTCCATAGATGACATTGACATAATCTTCAGCAAGGACGACTGGGAGGCCAAGGCGGAGTTTGCTCAGACTGATGTCCATCGACAAATCGCCATCGTCTTCAAGTCCCCACCCTTCAGGGAGCAGAATGTAACCGAGGAGGTGGAGGTCAGCGTGTGTCTACGCCGCGTGTCTGACCGGATGGACAGCGAGCCAGTCATGTTCACCTATGTTCCAGACAACGCAGGTGAGTTATCAGATGCCATATAAAGACAAGATTAATAGATAACATAAGGTGAGGGAATAGCTGGGGTATATTTCACCCTAAAATCAAATGATAAGAATATTATACATTTTAAATGAATAAAATATTATACTGTTATAGATGCTGGGATAGGCTCCAGCATCCACATGATCCTACTGGGGATAGGCAGTTTGGAGAATGGATAGATGAAAGGATTATACTGTTTAAATATTAAATTTATTAAAATAAGCACATTTAAAAAGTATAACAAATTCTACCACAATGTATAAATACTTTACAATGTATATATATCCATCCATTCAAAAATGTTGGTGTCAGAGTTTTGAAAGATGTCTCTAAACATATTATAAGTAAAACAAATTATTACAATATAAAATATCTCTATTTTAATATATTTTAAAATGTAATTTATTCCTGTTATACAAAGTTGAATTTTCAGCATCATTACTTCAGTCTTCAGTGTCATGTGATCCTTCAGATTCATATAAAATTTGCTGCTCACAAAACATTTTATTTATTTGAAAACAGTTGTGCTGCTTAATATTTGTGTGGAAACTGTGATGCATTTATTCCAGGATTCTTTAAAGAAACAAAGTTCAAAAGAACCGCATTTATTTGAAATAGAAATCTAAAAGTCTTGATTCTTTATCATCATTTATTTCTCTTGCTAGTTTCTAAAATATTGTAAAAAAGAGGGTGTGTCACCATGTCAGTTTTTCATTATAAATAGCAGCATTATAATAGTTTAAACTGAAAGTATGCATGAGGAAACTGTAATACTTCATAATAGGCCTTCTGTTGTCTACAGAACACAAACGATTCTGTTACAATCAGTGCCGTTTTAGTCAGCCCCATCACATGCATCTGTCACCCTATAACACGGAAGGAAGGTTGATCTGATTTGCACTTTTGATCTGCAGATCCCTACGGAGTGAACCGCAAGAGGAAAATTAAATCTGATGTGAAGTTCAGCGAGCCATGCAGCGTTCCTCAAGGTAAGGATGTTTGTAAAAGACACCTTAATATTCTATCAAACTTTGTTGACTACATCACTGTTTTATTTCCCTCCTCTCTCAGATCAAGACATTGTGAACGAACTCACCATGCCACAACATTTTGAGGACCAATTCTACACCCCTCCCGATTGTAACGTTCCCAATGCTTCCATGGCAGTCCCTGTTATGGATGGAGGCAATCACATGCCATCCCAGGTTATGGAGGAAATTCATTATAATGAAGACTTCAAACAAGAGGACGGTTGTGTTAGCCTGGACCCAGACACTTTAGATACTGTCCTCCAAGGCATTTCCCAATGCCTTGCCAGCTTCAGACCAGACCAATCCCAGCAAGGTTCAGACCAGCTTCTTAATCAGTTGTTTTTTCCTGGCAATCTCAACTTTGGTTTAGATGGCGCAGATACGAAATTGAACGTCAATCAACCTATGATGAACATGTCGTCTATAAACGACGTGCACTTCAGTCAGATGGTGAATGAGAATCAGGCCTATCCAGCAGATCTGGAGAACATCGAAGGCCTCATTTTCTCCACTGTGAAGAACGAGAATGACCTGGGCCACTGAATGCCACTGTGGACTCTTATGTCTTGACTATTGGGACTTTGTACATGCAGTCAATGTTGACTATAAAATCATTTTGGACTAGGCAAAGACACAGACTAAGTCAAACTTGTTATTGACTGCCAAACCTGTTCAGCTGGCACTATCTGACTTCCTGTTTGGTAGTATGAACCTACTAATGAAATAAATAACCTGCTCAGCCTCTGGCCTTATGAATGGACAAGACACTGAGGTTAATGATAGTCAATGAAAGGCAGGAGAAGCATGTAGCCACATTGTGTATTCTAGTAAAAAGGGAGCAACAGCTGCTGCTCAACTGCTTGTGATGTGCCGGTTATGAAATGTGATCTGTCATTCGCTAATTTATTGTGTGGGTTTCAGAGCAGAACCTATTAGTATCATGTAGATGGTCCCAGACCCAAATTCACTTCATATTTAAGTGTTATATATAACCTATTTGTTTTGAACATTTCGGAATATTTCATCCACAGAGGAATTTCAGTTAACAGCATTAAGGGAACAAAATCAGACATTTAAACATAATTCGGAAGTAGCAGTTGGATTAATTATTGTAATTCATACCAATCTGATGCCATGATCAAGCTAGGTATGACAACATGGTAAAAGCCATTTCTGCCATCTAATCGGCAACAATTCAAATCCTCCACTGAATCCTCTGACGTTTGTAACTCCTGATTTAAAAAAAATAGTGCATTATTGTGATATTTGGTTTACCAGTTGGCACTATGCTACACTGTTAGGAGCTGTTCACACAGAACACGTTCTTCAACTTCACTGCGACGCTTTCCTATGTAAACATGCACAAGACGGATGTGTTTGACCATTGCACTTTTGTCTTGTGCAGCGTATTGTGCATGACACAATGTTCTAAAAACACGGCACTCAAGTTAAAAAAGTTCAGCTAGGGCTGCACAATTAATAAAATTTCTAATCGCAATTACAATTACGGATGCCACAATTACGTAATCGTTCAAATCGGCAATTAATCGTTCAAAGTCCACTTATGTTATTCTGTGTGCTTAAGATGTTTTTTTTTCTTTCTACAGGTAATCTTAAGGGTTTTCCCACTGTTTTAATTCTAGTTTTAATATAACATAACATTTGAGACTTAATGCTATAGAAAAGCAATACAAGTTTTTCAGCTTGTTTATTTTCATTGGTTGCTTCAAACAATGGTATAAACATCATTCAATGTAAATTGTGATCATCGTAATTAATAATCACAATTACAATTTCAAAGGAATAATCGACAATTATGATTTTTGTCATAATCGTGCAGCCCTAAGTTCAGCTTTTAAAAACGCGTCTCTTGAACTTGTGCTTTCATCAAACATGTTCTGATTGGCTGCTTTGCACAGGATTTTATTTTTCAGTGAGAATAGTCAAATTACCCTGGAAACTTGACATGTCACAGCTGGTTATGTCATGATGTGAACTTCTAGGAATTTTTGTGCTGTGTAAAAATCCTTTAGTTGCATTCAAATATTGTCACATTCTGCTTCTTATAGTGTGCTGTTGCTGTCAATATTAAAATCAATTGTTCTGGAAAATGACTCAATTTTGCCGTCCCTTAGTGTTCTTGCTTTATTAGTCACTGGCTAATTCATAATTTCTGTCTCGAGAGTGGGCGGCACTAAGGCCAAAGTCCAACCAAATCTACCTCACCACATTCACATTAGCTACATTTACTTGCATCCAAATAATCAGTTAATAATCTGATTGTAAGGCCTTCATGTTAACACCACAATCAATACGAGTTCAATCCAGAAATAAATTTCCATCAGTCTGAAAGGATTTCATGCCATGTGTTTTTATATTTAAGAGCTACATGGGAATCAGAAAAAAGGAAGTTCGGTCACTTCCTCATTCACTACAGCTATTGTTGTGCTTTGTTGCACTTCTCTGATACTATATATAGAGTTCAGAGCAATAGCTACACACATTCAGCATGCCACAATCTCTGACAAAATCGACTCCCAGTCTTTCGTCAAACTTTAAGTATGCTTAAATTGTTGCTTTATTTTATTCAAGCTTTCATTATTACCCAATAGCCTAACGTCAGTGACTTTAAACAATAGATATTTGTGTGTGTGTGTGTGTGTTGTGGCTCCCATGAGAAGTGATTTCACACCTCGATTCACATGACTCAAGGTGACCTTTGACATTTATTAATGTGAACAACAAAGTTTGCGCTATCTCTCTGTCTGGTTGCACTTCTCTGATACTATATATAGAGTTCAGAGCAATAGCTACACACATTCAGCATGCCACAATCTCTGACAAAATCGACTCCCAGTCTTTCGTCAAACTTTAAGTATGCTTAAATTGTTGCTTTATTTTATTCAAGCTTTCATTATTACCCAATAGCCTAACGTCAGTGACTTTAAACAATAGATATTTGTGTGTGTGTGTGTGTTGTGGCTCCCATGAGAAGTGATTTCACACCTCGATTCACATGACTCAAGGTGACCTTTGACATTTATTAATGTGAACAACAAAGTTTGCGCTATCTCTCTGTCTGTGTGTGTGTTGCAATGTTGTAAAGCCTCATAGAAAGTCCAGTATTGGGCAATGGGACTGTATAAAACGCATGGCGCAGAAAGGAAGGCTTTTAGACGACAACACATTTGCACTCCTGAAATAACTAGTAATTGCTTTAAAGCAGCACTATGTAACTTTTTCTGTGTGTTCAAAATTTGCAAAATGTATATAATGAGCGAGTACATCATGAATTCATCTTCCAAACCGCGTTTTTGTCTTATTCCGAATCACTACGGTACACTTATAATAAGTACTTATATAGCCTGGTCGGGTCCTCGCCGCTGCGGAGTAACACATACCTGCGTGAATCGCCAGTAAACATAAACATAGAGAAGTAGCTCCGGTTAGAATGTTCTTCCGCGGGATGTGTGCAGTTCTGTTTATTAACCGCTAGCGCGCCAAAAGTTACATAGTGCTGCTTTAAATATTTTGTAATGTGAATTTACGATTGTGAATTTATTTTTGACAGGAACGCCACGCACTGTGTTCAGAATGTAATTCTGTCGTAGCTTCTGAACAAGCAATAAGAGTGCTTAAAAACATTAAGTTAACGAGTAAATACATTTTAGACCCAATATTGGCACCTACCTGTCTATTTTGTTATTTTATCGACAACAGTTCCAGAAATATGTAAATAATATGTATACGTAGCTTGGATAAAGTGTCATTGAAAAATGCTCACCAATAATTAACACTTTCATGAACGTGCAAACACAGACAAGCGGAATGATACAAACACATTCGGTGACCGGAACTAGCTCTTCTTTAACGTGCAATACACTATATACAGTTTACTACTATACAAATTGCAATAATAAACATTCTCATTATATGCTGCATCAAGCTAACATGGTTCCCACAACCAGAAACTTCCGGGAAAGTTCTGATAGTTATAAATAAAATCTATAATTAACCATCAGAGAAATTCTGTATTCATTCTCATAATTAAAGGTAACAAAACTAGAACCTGAAAGAACATTCCTAGAAAGTTAGGATTTGGTTTCCAAAAGATAACCAAATGGGAACCAGTGTTAGTAGGACATTCCAGTTTCCAAACAGCCAGAAAATAAGGAATTCCAGTCAGATTAGCTGATTCAATTTATTATGAAGTAAAAATGACATATTTACAGAAAATAAGCACGTTGTTGGTGATGATGTTAGTACAAAATAAATACATTATCGTTTATTCTTCAGATTGTATGACAGACATGGAGGATGCCAGAGAAGAGAATAATAGTCATCATTTTTTCTCCACAATCTGAGGCTCTGAGAGCTTCTTAATGGTGAGCTCCTCCACAAGCTTCTTCACCAAACTGTTGTGAAGAGGCTCTGGATCCTGAGAAAGAAAAAATGGAGTAATATTTATCTGATGACAGCGATCGGACATGCAGTGACCATCTTACATATCCCCGTTCACTTCATTACCTTCTTTTCCAGTAGTCTCCGTTTCTCTACTGCTTCCTCTAGACTCAAGCCCATCCATTCAGCCTCCTCCTCTGGGATCTCAAACTGCTGCTTGTAAGAATTGAGAGAAAGTAGAGTGAAGAAAACATATGGCTGCAAATATACATAACCACATAATCAACTCATCTCACCTTGTAGCGGTTGTAGATTTTTTCCCTGCGAGACGTATCATCAGTGTACAAATCCGTGTCTTTCCGCGCCAGACGTAAAAGCATTGCACGTTTTAGATCCATTCCAAACTTGGAGTTCAAATCTTGTTTTGGGGTCTGCTTTGAAAAAGATACACACAATATATCCACCACATTTTGCTGTGAGATTTTCTCGTATAAATTATTTAAAAAATGGATTCTTATGTAAATGGTTACAATACACTGAACCGAATGACCCTTTACACAAGAATAGTTTTAAAAACTGCTTACATATATTCTATATTTAGTAAATTACATATTTTACACAATAATGTAATATAATAATAAATATACAATAACGAATACAATTTTATATAATATATATTACTATATAAACCTTTTTATCCAAAATAATAAAACATATTTAATGCCAGACTTGTGCGAACTTGCAATAGTTGAAATCATTTGATACAATATACATAATATATTAGATCAAACTATCATAATTTTGTACAATAATTAAAACATACTAAATGCCACAGATATGTGCTTCATTTTTTATATAATAAAATGAACTATATACAATTATAAATAAAACCATTTTATACAATATATTCCATAAGCACATATTATTATATACAATGATTGTAATCTTTGTCAAATGAAAAAGCACACTAAATGCCATAGACTTGAGGACTCCATTTTTAAAATAGAATAAATATACAACAAAAAATGTATACAATAAATATTACTATCATAAACATAAAAGTTTAATTTTTGTAAAATGATAAAACACATTAACACAGACTTTTGAGGACTTCTCAAAAAAAAAAGAAAAGGAGATACAACATACTAAACGCCACAGACTTTTGAGGACTGCTCACCAGGTGAGCCTCACCTTAAGAATGTAGAAGTCGAAGCCAAAAGCAGCATCAATAAGGTCCAGTGTGCGAGCTGTGACTGTTACAGTAAACTTTTGGTCGAGGATCTCACTGTACAGCTCTCTGTTAAACAGCTGCGGCTTCCAGGTTTTGCGCAGTCTTGTAGAAAGCTGGTGTGACAAGTACATATTACATACTATCACTGATAGCACACGTACATCACGGAGACGTCTATTTGACATCTGCAAGACGTACTGTTTAACGTTTCCTATCAGATGCCAAATACATTTAGAAGATGTCTTTAAGATGTTTATAATTTAGAATGCATGTAAAACTGACGTCTGAAAGATCTCTATCAGATGTTTGTACACAGCAGATGCTTTCCAGATGAAGTGATCTTTAACAGACATCTTGCAGACATATGTGCGCTATCTGGGGTAGGATAAGTCGTCTTCAGGAAACATTCTGATTTATCTACTATTTAAATAAAAGAACCCTATTCAATATTACTGTAGTACAATATTACCTTGTCATCTTTGGCATATCTAAAGCCAGATATCCAGCCTTCTCCACCCCAGAGTCCGTCCTGTGATTCTGGCGGATAATAAACAGGCACAGGCACATCCTGGACTCGCTCTCGGTGTCCAGTTTTAGGATCGAGTCTGTATTTGACACCCAGTGGTTTCCAGTGCACAGGAGTAGGAGGGGTGGTGTCCTGCAGAGAGCGCAGGTAGTGCTGGGGTAAACGGGCGTAGATGCCCTTCTGCAGCTTCAGGACCTCCCAGATTTTTGGTGGATACTTGTGTAGAGGCATTTTATTGGACAAAACCTTACAAAGAAGGGTAGAGTAGGTACATAAATCACCCCAGGGCTCCAGACTAACATTTGAGAGCAGTGGCACCAGCACCACCACGTTCTACAGATGGTGGCGCCAGGAGCAGATTTGGCAGCGCTGGGGGTGGTGTGCGGGAGTATTAAAATATAGATCATTTAATCATAAAATTACTATTGTTTTGCAAGTGCAGTTACTAATAATAGTTCATGTTCATTTCTTGTTTTTCTTTTATAGTTTATACAGATTTGACAGTAAAGCACTAAGTTTGAGTTAAGATGCATACAAAATGTACTTTTATTATCAACAGTAACAGGTGCCAAATCAAATTTTTATATAGAAAATGTATATATTCCACTCTTATTAAATGTACCATTATTCTTCTAGTAGCCTATATGGAACTGACCAACTTCAGTGATTAATTTATGTGTGATTTAGTAGCAAGTTGAAGAAACGTTTGCTTTTCAAGGCACTTTGTGACTTTTCTTAAAAAGCGTAAAATTATGACAAAATCTGATTTCTTGATCATTTGAAGATGCCGTCTACTGGTTATAATTGTGATTTGATGTACTTTTTACATTTTACATAAGTGTTTGTTTACCACAAAGTATAGTTTGGTCATCCCATTAAAAATAACATTCAAACTGGATAATTTTAGAGCTTTAAAGTGCTGGAAATAGTTGTGTGAAATGCTTGAAAGCCGTTGAAGAGTGCTTGAATTTCTCTCAAAAGGTTGTACAAACCCTGAAATGAATGATGTAATGCATTCGACTATTTCTACAACACCATGGTTACAGTTAGCGTTTCCTGACGTATAACAGAATTCTGTGCAGAATTCAAACGCTTCTCACTGGATCTCGCAGCACTGTTGCATCTGTGCAGTAACAGTGTCTCCAAATCAACTTTGGCTCCCGAGTAAAGCTGTTCTGCAGCTGAAACGTAGCACGGTTTAGTTTCACTTTCGTTTGATGTTTCTCAAATTTGGTCGCAGTCTGGAGCCCTGCACGCACATCCATGCATCACACACACGCTTTTACTCTACTATATATGTATAAACATATCTAGATATATACATATGTATGTACATATACATATCATATAAACCATTCTACAGAACTGGTCCAAAGTCAGAGTTGAAAACGTCTTGGAAAAAAATGTCTTGTATAAGACATTGCCAAATTGTATAATATCCAAGGTACACATTTTCAGAAAGTTTTGGAATATTTGTCCTCTCCCCAAATTTTTCACTACCGAAACACAGTAATAATAATTTAATTAGAAGGGTTATATTGACCTATTAAGATTTTGCTTACATCTACGTTGTAAATATATTTGTTTGCTATTTTATTACAGTTGTTTCAGAGGTAAATCAAACATTGCATTTTTAACAATATTTCTAGTGTAATTTATGAGATTTGTTGTATTTTGAATCCAATTTTTCCTTGTAAAAGGCAAAAAGTTGATCAAACTGATTTCAAAGTTATATACATCGAACCAAAACCTATCATCTTAGTTGATATTTCAGTTTACTTTATTTTTGACAAAAACATCCCATGTTTCGGTAGTGACTGCACATTTTCGGTAGTGACCGTAATGCTTTGGTAGCGACCACATCACATTACAGAATTTGAACTTGCATACTAAAACATACTAAAATGCAAAAAAAATTGCATAAATGTACTAAAATTTCCCCCAAATATGAGGATTGTGTGTTCCCTTTTGTCACTACCGAAACAATGATGACATGTTTCAGTCTTGACAATTTTATGGGATAACACCCAAAAAAAAACAAAGTTGTCACAACCGAAACTCCACCAAATGTTTGTTTCGGTGACAATCTGAGATAATTTTGAACTTCTCAAAGATGCTAATCAGCACATGGTTAGCTAGCACAGTTCTGAACAGTTGTACACACATAAAAATTTAATTATATGGAATAACGCCCCAAAAAAGTGTGCTTAATTGCAGAAAAAAGGTGTTCGGTAGTGACGTTCCTTAGAGTTACACACAGATTTTTCAGACTTCTGAACACATCTACCTCAAAATGATGGACCTATCTACTCACCCTGTAGCTATGAGAGAGAGTGACACATAAATATGTCCTGATCATAAATGTAGGGGTGTAGTTCATTTCAATCTCAGCAAATGGACTAAAACATGCACCGTTTCATAAGTGACATGGAAAATGCGGGACACATTTTTTTACATAAAGTTTCACAATTTACAAAGAAAAAATAAAAGAATATATATTTTTAAAAAGAAAAGATATTTTTAAAAACAACAATGGAAAAAAAATACTAAAATTATTTCAATTTAATTTTCATAAGTTGAAATGAAGGGGTTAGGGTTCCGCACAGCCACCTCTCAGATGAAAGTACCCAATACATTGATTATTTTATAAGCTATATATTAAGCTTAGTGATATTTGAAATATTATTGTGGGTTTCAATAGATAATAGAAGGCTCTTAGTAGACATCTAAGATTTGAATATTTAAATGTTTTTTAAATGTGTTTTTTGGTTGTGGGACAGCAGTTCGCACCAATTCTGTAGACTGGCCCATATATGATAAGCTACAGCCAAAGATGCAAATATACGCTTTATAATGTAAAAATCTAAAGATGCAAAACTAATAACGATAAGGAAAAGGAAAAGGCATGTGTACAGTTCAGCGTTCTTACCGGGCAATCTGTGCCGTACTTTTACCTGACCAGTGCTCGCCTGCTAGCCTCTCAGTGCAGCACACGCTGTGAAGCTAAGCAAGGCCTCCTCGCGGCATTTCCTGTGACACGCTGCTGTGAGCTGCGATTGGTTCACTGGAGTGTTTACTTCATTGGTTGGTTGGTGGCACGGCTGAGCTTCCGGAGGATTAAAGGCCCGTTCACACCAAGCACGATAACTATAAAGATAACGATAAAGATATATAGTTCTACAAATCTTAACGAATAGCAGAGTCCACACCACAACTATAACGATAAAGACAAAGAGAAACGATATCGTTGGAATCACTTTCAAAACTATTTTTCTCCAGTTGATGAACGATTTAAAAACTGACAGCCAATCAGAATCCATCCTGCTGTAACGAGCTCGTGAATTTAAAGCGGCAGACGCTCTTAGAATAAACAGACGATATGGTTCATGTGGACGCTAATATCGTTATCTTTATAGTTATCGTTATCGGTGTGAACGGGGCTTAACAGCAGGGATCATAAACAGTTGACATAATTTTACAAAAAACCTACATGAGTTACACGCTTTCTGTCTAGCACAAGTTTAGCTCGCCCGAAAGGTGGAATTGAACCACTCCGCCGCTAGGCAGCTACAGGTTTGAAGCCTGCACCCCGGACCACCGAGGTTCATCCGGGCACTTATGACATCTGAGACTGCATCTATATATAGGTCTCTCCTGCGCTATGAGTTACAGCTACGGTGAGTGTAATTTGTGAACCTGTATTTAACAGCATATCATGATTACTTTATGATATATTGTTGCCTCCCGTAGTATGAAGTTTAAAGAAATTCGAAATTTGCTGAAATTCTACATTCAAACCAGAGTTGCAGCACATGCAAATGTATTACTTTCTATTGGTCCAGAAGTAGGGCGGAGATTTACATACTTCCCTTGTTTTTGTTCATCATTCTTTGCTGTGAATTAAAACCAAAACAAATCTTTGTCATTGTATATGGCTATTTCTAGATGTAAGAAAAGATAAAATGATAGCCTTTTAGCATATGTTCTATGCAGATGTTTTTCACATATTATACTTTTTCTCATGTAAGTTAATATATTTTCTAGTCAAACAATAAATATGCCGACTAAATGATCAAATGATATGATAAAAGATCATTTGTAATGTTTTTAAAACTATCAACTCATTTACAGTCAATTTGCTGTTGTTTCTAAATATACTATATTTCATTTTGTCAGTTTTTAATACAAAAAAATATGTATTTATTTGATCATGACCTAATTAGACTCACTAAAACATTCTTACATTTAAACATGCTTTATATTATAATAGCGCTGATATTCAGTTAAAGATATATCATTTTATTGCACAGGGTTATGGCACATTGTAACAGGATATGACAGCACCCTGTTGTAAAAGGCTCCTAAGCGTGTACACACACACACACACACACACACACAATCATACTTAAGTTATCAATAAATAAGGTGGACAATCAAATAACACAATGTTCTCAAACACGGTTGTACATCTGGATCTTATAAAGAACGGCTTTTCAATACAATCGAAGTGAACCTTTTTACTATTTCGAATTACCATGTGAAATCAAACACTGAGGATACAAATGAGTGACTGCGCTGCATTAAAAACAGACAAAAACATAATTGACAGAAAATGCCATAGTGGAGATGGACAGCTGAACTGCAGCAATGTTATAGAAATATCAGTGAGCATTTCATTGGGACGTCATCATGTTCTCCTCATTAGACTGAGTGTTTTGAGGTTGGATATGAATGTACAATCAAGTCTAGACGTCATCAGCCAGTAAAAATTATATTTATGTTGTTATTTTTTATTGAGGACACACTGGCAGGCTGATCAGGAGACAGTTCATTTGATTATAATAAACAGCTGATCAGTAATTGCACAAGCTTTTGTTCATAGATACTCGGTCATAATAGGGTAATAATGAGTAAAAAAAAAAAGACCAGACTTCCTGTTTTTCACTAAATGTGCCAACAAGGGTGACCTCAGAAATAGAGGAGAAACAATGTCTGTAATAGATCCAACGTTATTTGATTTTGAGATCAGCACTCTTGTGCTTTGCTTTGGCAATATTTGATTAGCAAGAACCGCAAGGCAAATTAAAGTTAGCACAACCTACTTTTAAAATAACTCTGCCCTACTTTACCTGAGGTTGAAGCAGTGCTTGCTTTATTCGGACTCCTGTAACTGTGCTTTACTGCTTGTTTACGCTCAGCCGTGATGGGGCGATGATAATAAATCAGAATTGTAGCTAAAATTCATCAGGTTTGACGAATAGGCTATATGTTACAGGACCTTAGTGGGGCCACCTCATCACAAGCTCATTTTACAAATCAGTTGGCATTTTAGTCGGCATCTCAGTCGCTATTTGAGACCGATAACGGAAAATTCTGATCTAAAAGCATAGTAAACAAAAAAGAAACTGCAACCTGACCAGGTGCACAACAATAACGCATGTACACTGAAAAAAACCCCCCAAAACATCGCAAACCAACAGATTTTCTTCTCAAACCTTGACCCTTTGTGACATCTGAATGCCAAGTTGACTTTTCCTGCCATTTTAAAGAGTAACAATGTCGTCTTAACTGCTATTAGCCAATCTAATCTTTCATTCTTGATATTTTGGCGAAGAAAATAAATCGAAACGAAACACGAAGACGTGAAAAACAACCCAAATAAAGCCATGCTGACATGTTCTGGCGGAGAGTGTGAAAAGTGCTAATGCTAGTCCTCCATCCCGGCCCGCACTCCTCAGTGACTCCAGTGTCGTCATGCAAGGCCAGGTGTTTGTGGTTGCGATGGTGGGACGGCTCTCACCCCGGGTTGCGCACTGAAGATGGGACACGGCGAGGTCCAGACGGAGGATGTGGGAGTGGGAAAAAACACTCGTAGCACGGCACACACAAACAAGTCCTGGAATGAATGTGACATTCCCACTGACCGCATGCTGCTGGAGATGTACACATACAAAAGGCAAACCGCGCACCATGCATACTGACTACCAATGGCAAAAATAGGATCCTTTTGTCATTTTTCCTATTTTTTCTATCCTCATCCCATGTGTCTTCACTGTAAGGTAAGGCAGGGATTTATTATTTTTTTAAATAAATTTTTGTATCTGATGTGTGACTGTCTGTTGTTATAACAAGCTCATGACTACGCCGCCAGACCAGCAGCCTAAGCAGTATCTTCGAGACATCACCATCCTGATCCTCGACAGGTACGCCGTCCTCGAGAACGGTCACGGATCATCTCCGGAGTCGTTTCTGCGTTACGCCATGTAGGTGAAAGTGTTAATGTCCGTTTCGTCTCTCTTGATGTACTTGTGCTCAATGAGCCACTCGATCTGTTCCTTGATCATTTTCTTCTGAGGGAGGAACATATTCTTCAGAATCTCCACCAGCTCGGTCTGCAGCTGAGCGTTTGTGATCTTCTTGCGCATCTTCATGATCTGAATGATGGCCTCCTGAAATGTTGCAGTAGAAGAAACAAAAATGTATTACAGTTTTTCACAATATAAAGTAAGGGAATGAATTGTTAACTATTTAACAGTCTTTTACCATCAAAATTACAAACAAATTTTACTTCGGTTTTTATGCGAACAGTGCACTAATTAGTTTTGTAATTTTTATCGGCATAACTTCTGTAGAGAATTAGTGCAGGCGCGGAACAAGGAAACTTCCTAGCGTGCCAAGGTCCTCTGTTCGCACACATAGCCTACAATCAAATGGAGTAAATTTTGAAAGGCTACACGCATACGCTAAGCATTCGCATCAAAACTGAAGTATACTTTGGGTAAACGTTTGGGAAGTATACTAGTGTTCATGAAAAAAGAGCACTAGTAATGTTTTTTGATGTTTCATACCTGTGTTCTTAATATTCTAAGCTGGACAATGCCTTCGTTCTCCTCTTCTCTCATTCGCTCCGTCGTCAGCTGCAATCGGCCAATTAGGTTTATTTTCCCCCTCTTTTGAACCTTGGTGTTTTTTCTGAGGAGAAACTATTATTATTTCCAAATAAAAGGACCATTTATAAGCAAATGAAAGAGCAAGCAGGAGAGGACATGCTCTTACATTAAGGAGAACTCCTGGTTAACGAAAAACAATGTACTGTCTGTGAAGTCTTTGGGAGAGCTCACTTGAGGTTCATATAACAGCACTTGGCGTTTGAGCTTTGGGAAGGCAACGAGAGACTGTACAAAAAGAGAGGGAAGATGTTACGTAGAAGATGATGGTACAACATCTATAAACAAAGATATTTTAATTGATCAGAATCAGTCAATGTTGGATATTTTTAATTAATCTTTAAAAACACTATGAATTTAATAACACTGTTAATTGTAATCAAATTTTAAAAAAGAATATCCATTTGTCATACTGTACATTATAATGTTGTGATATCTAAATGCACTTGTTGCATTATGATTAATTGTAGTTTAGTGTTTTATTTTGAATTTATTTACACAAAACAGAATAAAATTTTTAGATTGCTCATTTATAAGTTATCGATCACAACATGAAATAATTATCATCTTATAGGTATCTGCCAGAATTTTAATATTATATATATTTAATTTCTGTTAAAAAAAAGAAAACCTTTGCAGCTATGTCAGTAATAAAGCTTGTCAAAAGTACCGACTTCGGTACCAGAGCGGATTCTTAAACACCTCTGATTGGCCATTGTGTTCAATTGGCCATTGGCTACAATGATCAGCGCTTCACGCTTTTCACCGTCTTATTAGCGGATTCCTAATAGATTATCCCTGCTCATAGGCTTTCAAACGCTCCTGTGTGTATCTGTGTAAGCGTTCGGTGAAGAGCGTGACACGATGATCATCGTAGCCAATCACAGCCATATCTGTTAAGCACGTGAACACAGTGGCCAATCAGAGGTGTTTAAGAATCCCCTCAACAGCGATCAAAATGCTAGCGGGAAATGCAGGTATTGTCACATATTTAAAATGTTAAAGTCTGTACTTTTGACAACCCTACAGTACAGCAGAAATATAATAAATATCTAATGGAATAAAATGCGACATATCCAGTCACGATCTTACCCAGAGAGTTCGTCTCAGTTCAGCATCAGGCAGCTCAGTGGCAAGTTTCAGGTTCTCAAAACTGATCTTCTCTCGTGGTCTTTGGTTCCAGGCAAAAAGTACAGCCAGCTGAAAGGTCGTGACCTCCAGGTCGTACTGCCCTACTTCATTCTTAAAAGTGATCTATCAAGAGAGCAAACAGACTGATTAGCTACAAGTTGCAATTTACAGTTACTACAAATCACTACTAAGCACTAAACTTAGTGCATAAAATAAACCCACAATGCCATTGGACATGAGGTGGTGCCAGTGGAGTTTTCGGCCGCTGTGGTTCTTCTTGTAGAAGTCTTCCACCTCAGGAATGAGGTCTTCCAGCTCGGTGGGCAGAGACACGAACACTTTCTCTGAGCTGCGTGACCACGCTCCAGCATTCAAGATCTTTATGTTCACAGAGTCCGCTGGGTAACAGAAGGGGTGTGAAGAGACCACTTTTGATATAGTTAATGCATCCTTGCTGAATATAAATATGAATGTCTTTCAAACCCAGGTGAAAGGTAGTGTAAATGCATATATAGAGAGACAAATGGGCTTGTAAGGCACCTGGTAAAGCCAGCTTGTTGTGTTTGTGTACTTCCTTGAAAACCTGGTTAAGATCTTCGGACACTTTGATGTCCTGGAACATTCTAGCTAGCTTGTTCACATAGTCAGCAGGCATCCCAACTTCCTGAAACA